AATTCCGAACCAGTTATTTTTTAATTTTGGTCGGAGTGAACAAAATATATGTCAGTTAAGTCAGTTTTTATTCCAATAAAACTATCAGGGTTTTCGATTCATTTTCTTGTGAATATTTTTTATGTACATATGTACTGATGTAACATGTAACATACACAAACTGACGTTGCATTGTCCATAAAGTACTGAATAGATTTAATTTATTTGATTTATAGTTGATCCAGATCAGTAAATCATAGTTTGTACATTTGTACGGGTCTTTCATATGAAATAATATTGAGATACTATATGAATATTAATAAACTATGAAATAATATTTTTTAATTCCGCTTCTAAAAAGGTGACAATTTAATTAATTCAATTTTTTGATTATTAGCTTTTAATGTTTCACACAAATCCAAACTTATGTGAAATAAAATAATATATAAATTAATTTTATATATATGAGATACTAATTACATCTTCTACAGTTGTACATCAGTTTTGAATCTGTATTTTAAAATTTTTATATATAAATCTAAATACATGATTTATTTTGTGGTATTTGCAATTTAGGACATCTTGTTTATAATTCACCAACTTCAATTTTGAAAGTTGGAGTTAACGTATTTATATTTGAGATGTAATAAATTTTAAACTTCAAAAATCAAAATCCGTGAATATATTTCAAAGAATGTGAATTTTTATAGTATGAAGTCTCCATACAAAATATTTTAATAATAAAAAAAAGAATTGTGAACTTAATTTAACAGCGAAAAAAACTAATATGCTGCATAAACAATTGATGCTATCAACGGCTAACAAATTTCTATTAACTTTTAAAATATTAGTTCTACGTATGTAATCCTCTTATCATTTTATATTAAATTTTATTTTAAGTACTTGAGAATTGTAAGTTAAATTGTATATAATAAATATAACAATGCATAATAAATATTAATGCATAGTTTCAGCTGTTTTGTTCTAGCTGAAGAAATTTATGTACGAGTAGTAATTATAGAAAATAAAATATATGGTCGTTTATATATTATTGGCATAAGCTTGTACCAAACAAAGGATTGCAATTTTGTTATTAGCTCTAATTAGTAATTCTTAAGATTGTTATAATTTTAAACTTTAAGAAATTAAAAAGTTATAACTATAAATTATATATAACTATATATATAAAATGAAGGACAAAGAACGATTAACATTTTTCAAAAATCAATTTTTTTCTTTTGCTTTTGCAAAAGATATGTACTAGATCGTAATGTACGAGTACCATTTACTATATTAGTGATATGTGAATGTTTTTGATTTTAAAAGACACTGTTAGTGTATTTTCAATTCACCATTTTTTTAATTTGTGAAATATTAAAAGCATTTACACTTTTATTAATATTTTTTCTAATAAATTTAATATATAAACTACTTACAGTTTCTGTAGCGTGTTTAATTACTTTTCTATTTCAAGTTAAGATTTTTCTCACCACAAATTTAATTCTCAAGTACATTTAATTATGCTGCTTTTAATTGCTTGGTCCCAGTTATTTTACTCTATTTCCTTTTCCTCTATGTATTCTAAAAAAGGACATTAATAACACTTTTCTAAAGTCACTTGAATTCATTTTAGGCCACCTGATACACTGCTTCTAAAGCAATTTTGTTGATTCATTGCTTTTAAAGGATTCAATGCAGCGAAAATAGAAGTACGAATAGTCATTATCTGCACATATTTTTTTTAATGAGAAAAGATATTAACGAACTTAGTGTCAAATACATATAGTTGAATAATTTTGAAAGTGTTTTTTTATCTTTAGAACTTTGAAGTTTATAAAATGAAGATTTTAAGAGAATATATATTACATATAATTTTTGGTTTAAATATATTTCATTGATATTATCTTAAAAAAAAAGTTTAAAATTAGATACAAATGAATTTATTGATATCGTTACTAGAAAAGAATCGAGTAATTTTTAGTTCAAATATATCTCATTAAATTTATTTTATAGAGAATTTATATCCTTTCAATTAGAGAAATTAGAGTAATGACACTCGTTTACTCTATCTCCTCTGTTGGACGCTTTAGTTCAGGCCTGTTCAGATCAGATAAGATTGTGGTCCAATAAAAATTACAGAACAGATTCGAAAAATAAAAATACGGCGCTAATGATAAATTTAGTTTTATTAATTCGTCATTAACTTATCTTTTACAATTTATCACCATCAGCATTATTAATATTAGTTGTTACCATATGAAAAATATTTTATTTCTATTATTATGTTGAATCTAGTTGAGTTAGTGCACTTGAGCACATTTACCCTCTATTAACTGCGAGGTTTCTTCATAACGCCACTCTACGCCTTGACTGGATTATTGTTTTTCACTTCATCAGACTAAACAATAATTAACCTGAGATCTGCATAACTTCCCGCAGAGCCTGTAAACATCCTGAGTTTCGATAACGAGGTGTTGGTAAGCCTGTCAGTTTTCGTAAATAATTTCAGGACTCTATCCTTTATGTAATTTTTGATCGAATCAATCTTGAGGTCCCTGAGGATGTTATTCGTCCTAATGTACCATGTTACCTTGAAAAATTTTATCAGAGCCTGGTTTTGTACAATTTCTAGCTGGCGAATAGTAGTGTTAAAATAATATTGTACAAAGATATATATACTAAAGTCTATGTCATTTAAGTAAATTAACGTTAAGTGTGGTAAGTTAAAGTCGGTTTTGTTTTTTAAGGAATTTAAGCTTTTATTTTTATTTTATTTTTATTGCATCCTGTTAATAATTAAGGATCTATAATGCATATCATCTTGTCTCTTTCTACATTAAGTGAAAAAATTTTTTGACTTGATATTCGGCACATTTGATAGTGCTGTAATTGAAATGTTCGAGTTTATAAAAAATGTATCTTTTTTTGTAGTAATAATCACATATAAGAAGCTGCGTTTTACTATTCAATTTATGACTGCAACATTCCAATCATACCATTCTCGTTGCAAGCAATTTCTTGTCATTTTGGAAAAGTTCCAAATGACTTTTTTACCAAAGTACGAGGATTTTCACATTTTTTATGTACTCGCATTATAAGTTAATGAAAAGGACATTTAAATCCATGATGTTGCCAAGTATGTGAGCGTGTTAATGATAGTTTGACTGAATTAGGATGTGTTTAAATGCAAATTAATTGGCGAAAGAACTAAAATGTGTTCATTAAGTGTATGTATTTGAGTATTTTGGACTGCATTTTTTAGCATTTTTTTCCATTTGCACATTTTCTGCATGAAAGAGTTATAGAAGGAGCTTAATTCGCTAAATGTGCCAAAAATTAGTACAAAAGATTTTAATTAAAAAAAAAATGAAATTTGAAAAGTTAATTGAATATGCACAATGAATATAGCAGTTTGAATTGTTTGCAATAAAAAGTAAGAGTTTTGTTCATTAAAAAATTGCACTAATTGTTAAAATTATAAATAAAAATGGTATATAGAGATACAGTGAAAAATTTATTAAAAAATACATATGTATTTTTCACTGCATGAATTTTAGTATATAAAATTGCTTCTAAATATAATAACACTTCAGGACAATAGTAATAGCTTTTATTTTATAACTATTGTTATATTTTTGCAATATTTTAATAAATAATTATAAATTCAGTAAATAAAGAGTTGAAATATATCTGTACCTTGTTATTCACTTTCACGATTGTACTGCAAAGAATCAATAGCATGAACTGTATAATCAGACTTTTTTACGACATCGTCCTCAATCTCATTCCCTGTAATGTTCATTTTCGTCATTACACCTATAATGCAATATAATGCAAGTGCTACAAAAGAGAGCTGAAGTTTCATGCGAATTATGTAGAATTCTGTGCTTTAGCAAACATCTAAAGTGAGACTTTAAAACAGTTTTTATGCAGTTTCTGGCACATCCATATAATTTATTGCTCCTTGAAGACATTTGGAACTTCCACCGGTATTAAAAGCCAGGGCTACGGTGTACTACAAATCCGGCAGTATCCGTAGGTCCCGTAGGTCAGAAGTTACCCAAATTCCGGAATCATATGTTACTCCAGGAACTTACTGCTTCGACATTAATACCGTAAAACCCTTTCCAGTTAAAATATAAATATTTTAATACATTTTTCGTTATTTCCCTCTTCCTCTTCGAATAAAAATAATAAGAGTGACAGTAACATATCAACTTCGATTTTAACTAACTATTTTCCACAATTAATAATTATTTATTTATTTCTATTTAAGCCAGTGCACTTGAGCACTTTTAGTCTTTCTTAACTCGAGATATTTTTAAAACCCCTCTTTACGCTTTGACTGGATTATTGTTTATCACTTCATCAGACTAAGCAATAATTTACCTCAGATCTGCATACCTCCCCGAGGAGCTTGTATCCATTCTGAGATTTGATAACGCGGTGTTGGTAAGTCTGTCAGTTTTCGCAAATAATTTCAGGGCTCTATCCTTTATGCATTTTTTGATGGGATCAATCTTGAGGTCCTTGAGGATGTCATCCGTCCTAATGTACCATGTTACTTTGAAAAGTCTTCTCAGAGCCTGACAATTTTGTGCAAATAATGCTTGCATATAGAATTTTATTACTTGTTGAGTATATTTGTCAACTTGGTAATTTATCTAAAAAAAGAGCTTTTTATTTATAGCACAGAACACCAAAACCTTGACAAACAAACTAAATGGTAGATAATTGTCAATACTTGACAAAGTTGTTCATAGAATAGTCGGCAAAATATATATATAACATAAATATAATAATGCAAACTCTTGGTTAGCATTGACAAAGAGAGATGGAAAGAAATAGTGGGTTTGATGTAGACATATATATATATATATATTCATTTTTTATCTTTTATATATATTTTTGTTCCTGGAACTTATAAGTATTTATTTGTAATAATTTTTATTTGAATATATTACATTAGAAATATATTTAAATTTTGGGCAATTTTAATAATGATGTAGTTAAAATGGGACACAAATAATATAAGTACTTAAATTTAGAAAATACGTTAAATTTTGTCACAAGCACATTCTTTTGTAAAATTGACATGACAGAACTAATTTTATACTGATGGATTTCTGTTGAAATAATGACCATATCTTTGCACCAAGTCTTGTACCATCTACAGCGAAAAGCTAATTTACCTCCAAATAACACAGTTTATGTGATTCTATGTTCTTATATTAGTCTTGTGGATATGTTACCTTATCCAAAAAGAACGTCTGGCTTACGCTCATTTCGTGGACATTTAGGTTTTCGTTTGCGTTGACGTTTAGGTTTCCGTTTCCGTGGGCACTTAGGTTTTCGTTTGCGTGGCTTCTTTTTTTTAGAAGCTTTCTTTTTTTTCTTTTTTCCACATTTCGGCTTCTTTTTACACTTGGGCTTCCGTTTTTTACGACATGTCTTCTTCTTCTTTTTTTTTTTAGGTGGGCACCTCGGCTTTTTCTTACCACGTCGTTTTTTTGATTTACGTCCCTTAAATAAAAATTATATTAAATATATTCATTTTAAAACACAAAGGATACGATGTACAAAGAAAGTGTAACCTACCAATATCTCATATTTATACTTCTGCTCTTGGCTTAAACATCTCCATGCCTTAGCCGCTGCGTAAATCGCTTGGCATGCCGTTATTCCGCGATTACGTCGTTGGAATTCTCTTAAGAAATTTAAATATCCTCTGTTAGTTATAAGTCCGGGACTCATACATTTTTTGTTTGAAAAACTCATACTGGTATCTGAAACAGTATTTTTATAATGGCAATGATTAATCAAAAAACTCTTACGTTTTTAATCAAGTGATTTGTGAATTAGGCTTATACTTGAGAGGAATAAAATCTGAAGTAAAAATTGTTTTTATTTGTTGAAAACGAGAGATTTTTAAATCGATCAAACTGTAGATCGTTTACTGTAGAAACATACCTTAAAAAATTCTTTTGTTGCGAAGTGATACCGGATTTCTGCATCAACAATTAAAAGGATTCGGAAGTACCACAACGGATTTTGGAGTGATCACAGGAAACGATAGATACTACAACAAAATAATTAAAACAATTTAGAGAATTAAATAAATACTTTTACCAAATCAAATGTACTACAAAGCTATAGAAGATCACTTATTATAGCTTCTGGAAGATCAGATCAAATCATGGAGACGCATAAAAAACAAAATTATCTTCAGCTAATCCAATCAATTTATTTGAAAGAGTACGCTAATTTGAAAATATTATGACCAATTTTGTTGTTATTTCGAGAGTGATTTAGGTTTTGTAAGAGAATAAAACTTTAATACAATTGTTTCGAAAAAAAAAAATTATAGAAAAAAAAAAGTTTATACTATAAGTTATATCAATTTGTCAATGATGACTTGATTGTATAGTTCATACTATACGAATATCAGTGATGAATTTAGGGAGGTGAGATGGGAGATATCCCCCACTCTTATTTTGTTGCGAATTAATGGGTATTTATATATTTTTTGGTAAAAAACCATCCAAAAAATTTAAACTAATTGAGGGTTATATTACGGTTTTTGAGTTTCAGGGAATTGAGGTTTTGGAGTTTAATTGGAAAATTACGGAATTTTTAAATCAGATGTTTGATACATCATATCTCAGTAAATACTGAAAACGCAAATATCAAGATACATACTTGAGTATTTTTACCGTTATTTATTGATATGAGTACTGTATTGAAAAGCGTGTCTTAAAGTACCTATATATACATACAAAAAAGTTTTGACTTACTTGATGTCAGAAGTAATCTACAACTGTCGATACATAATCTGATATAATCATCAGATCAAATTAGGTCAGGCAAGAAAGATCGTTACACCTAGAAACAATATTAACTTTAGTAGATAAATTAAAAAAATTTTATGATAAGGTTAAGATTACATACTTTAATTTAATCAAAAACCGTGATTATTATGTGATTGATCCGTGATTGATTTAATTTTTGCAAGACTGAAATTTTCAGACAAATAATTCGAAAAAAAATATACATTATAGAAATAGAAACAAATTATATAGCATAAATTATGGTACATCTTATACAAAAATGTCAATGATAGTTTGATTTTTGCTTTAAACATGGACTTTCACGGAAAGAAAATCTACATTCTGCCAGACAGGCAGTTAATGTAAGGAAGAATGTAAGGAATTTATCAACGCACTAAGTGAGAGGTCCAAGGTAATTCTAGTTTAGGTTCTCGAGTATTCTAATAGTGTAGGAAATGAATGCGCAGACAAGCTTGCTAGATTTGGCGCCTCTTCCACGGATAGACCTATTTCAATCCATGCACCGGTCAATCTGTGGTAGTTTTTTCAATCGAGTTTTAGTGCAATTTCATTTTTAATTGGTAAATCTCGAGCGAAAGGTGTAACACTCGAGATTAGTTTATAACATTTTAGATATTTTGCCAGTGTAGTAGGATTACCCCGAAATTAACAGCTGTTTTATGTCTTGACAGATTGATTTGATTAAAAAAATATAAATTCTTACTAACACAACCACAAAAATGTTAGATTGCTCTAAAAATGGGCAACAAAATTTCTCAGATCTAGGTTAATTCCAGATTTACCAATCGAAAACGCCAGCACAGAATACTAGCAATATAAATGATATATAAAAAAGGGATTTTTACAAATAATATTATTTTAATTTAAAAAAAACAATAATTTATAACAGTTAAGTTCAATTAAATTCGTTGCATTGAGTATCTAATGTAAATTAAATGACATCTTCAGATAATTATTTATCATCTTCTTACCAACGAGTTCTTCCTGTGCCTAACCTTTTAACAAAAGATGGAAAGACTCAACGATATGCCGGCATCTGTATGCAATTTGACCAATAAAAGGAAATCAAACTTTCTGATTAAGACTAAATATCCCTTTCAACCATACCTGCCGCAGTTGTGAAGAAGACGATAAAAGTGACTCCCATCTGTTTTGTTTTTGTCCAGCACATACGTGGCGCCGCCTTGTCACTTTAGAGGCTTTATTTTTTGAGATCTTGGCGAACTGTCAAGTTGTTCTATACCTTGCGTTTTTAATTATATGGTAACACAATGTGGATCCCTAAGTGGATCCTTGTGATCGCAGGTATAACCTAAGCTTACCAACGAAAATTACTTAGTGATCAACTTTATTAATTGAATAATATGTTGTATATTTACTAATAAAAAATGAATGAGTTAACTCATTTTTTTTTTCATTTCATTTAATTATTTAGCTTTGCTACTCTGAGCAGAATTTCGATCACATCTTAAGATTGCAGACTAGACAAACTCGGTCCAGACAACATTCTTGCGTTAATTTAAAAGTTTTGAAAGCTTCCTTAGAGTATTTTTGTAGATATTACTGCAATCGTTTGATTACAAATATTTTTTCTTAAAATCAATATTTCCAAATGCACACATTGTCATTTATTAGGATGAAAAAAAAATAGCAACCAAAATGTAAAAATATTTCATTTGCTTTACTTTGCAACTAAAGGCGAAACTTAGTTTTTTATTCATTTTCTCGATGGAAAAAGTAATAAAAACGTGCTTAAAAATTATTTATTGAAATCGTGACAAAAATATTTGCCATTTGTTGTATTTTTACCCCCAGCATTTTGTACCTTAGGCAATTTCATTTGAGCTTTGTACATAAAATTGCTATATAAAGTAAACATTGAAAATATCAAAAAAGCAAATTTTTTGACTATTTTGAAGGTGCAACTGGAACGGTCAATTGGCAAAATTCAGTAGAATTTGATTCATAATATCATGGAACGCATGACTAATTTTGGCAACTCTTGTTCTTGAGGTGAATGAACAATTTTCAGTAGATACGAGTATAGACAAAAATAAATTAATTTAGTTATTATTATTGTTAAGGGATGTGGCACTGCGACCGACGGATCTGATGTGCCCCCTTTCTGGATTTAGAGTTAGTCTCTAAACACTGCTGCGTTAATAAAAAGTAGTATAGAGTTTACTTTACAAAGTTTTATTGCCTCCTCCGTAAGAATATACATTCCCAGGAGTCTATTCCGTATATGCATTAGCGCAAGACATTCTGGATTTAGAGTAAGTCTCTAAGCACTGTTGCATTAATAAAAATTAGTATAGAACCTACTTAACAGAGTTTTATTGTCTCCTCCGTAAGAATATATATTCCCAGGAGTCTATTCCGTATATGCATTAGCGCAGGACATTCTAATAGCACATGTATAGATTCTCTTCGCAGAGTCTACAGTTTGCATATACCCAATCTCGTAAGGTGGTATTTTAGTTTATAGTGCCCTGTTGGGATTCTTGTTAGGTTCAATTTAGTTAAAAAATAATAAAATCAAATTTAAAAATTTTTTGTGTATTGTTTAAATAAAAATATCATTATTAATAATATACAACATGAAAATTGTCTCAAAAATTTGAATTGAGTTCTAATGCAATAATCATGCAGTGCGTATTTTTTGCATTTGACTTATCTGTAAACTCAATTTTTGCTTGCGAAATCTTGAAAACCAAGCGAAAAATTATCTTTTGTATGCACTAACAATGGAAATTTAGAATAACAACAGGAAAAGTAACAAGAAAAATGCAAATTCAAAACTTGGCCACAAAAACCAACAGAAGGAGTGTAAGGATAAGACATTAGTTCGAGCTGAAGTAGAAGTAACAGCATCGGAATCAGCAGTAACAGCAGCAGCAACAGCTATTAGAAACCCCAAACAAGACGTTGAGGAAATAAAATTACACCATTCCAATGGATGTATGCAAAAAGCAAATCATTTCAAGAAAAGGACATGCCGGAAGCAAAAGAAATTCAATGAATGAAATTAAATGCACACTTTGCACTTCGCTCTTTGCTCTGCAGCCAAAATTTCATAGAAATAAAAACGCGATAAGTGCTGCACAACGTCACAGTGCGGAGAACAACGACAGATGAGATGGGAATGTAAGGAATATGTGCTGCTAGTGTCTGAAACCAGGAGCAACTTAACCAGTGCACAGGCAGAGCACAGTTGGAATCGTTCATTGTCTGCCATTTTCGCAGGTCACTGCGCCAACATAAAGCGAAATGTTCCTTTGCGCGTTTCGTAATTTAGGACGAAAAAACACATAAATGCTGCAAATGACAAGCGTTTTGCGTTTACTGATATGAAAGAAATTATGTTGAAATGTAGGAATACTCGTGCTAAGAAAAAAAATAATATAAATAAATAAATTAAATAATAATTTTGCATTTAGCTGCGGTTAACTATTCTGTAACTGAATTATTTACATAAAAAGCATGAAACGAAAAATTACTGTAAATTTCTGTTGTTGCTGTTAAAACTATTGTGTTTTTTTGTTAGCTACTCACAACAACAGGCTCTCCTAAAAATTTAATACAGGTCAGGATAAATGTAACACTCTGGTGACTGAATTTACTTTCCTCCTTTATATAAAAAGCATGTCATTAATTGTTATACATAATGCAGAAATTTCAAATGGGTTAGTTAAATTAGAACAATTCTATTATATATAAACTCATAGTCCTGAAGCAATAGTTATTACACTCCTAATTTCAGTTTATTGCGCATTTCAGTTTTCGTAATACTGACGTACATTATTATTATGTTAAGTCTTCTCCGAGTTAATGCATCTAGGCACTCTTACGCTTTGATAGCTGGGGAGTTTCTACAGGGTCCCACCCATCTCACTGACTAATTTGTGTATTCCTCATAATGTTCGTGATCATCCAATGACTGATCAGTGTACCACCCAGTGCGGTTAGTGATTACTCTGAGATTAGATAGTGCTAATTAGGACAGCCTGTCGGTTTTCGCATATAGCTACAATAGTTATTACACTTCTAATTTCAGTTTTAGTAATACTGACGTACATACACCTCAGATATTTTAACATTAAAAAGCGACAAAATGTCGTAATGGGAAAGGCATTTATGAGCACATCTACAAAAATTTAAAGACCGGTCTTTCGGGAAATCTTTACATTGATTTCCTAGCAGTTACGGACTCGTAGGGTGTTGGGAATTTTGCATTTAAGAATAATTTTTAAATGATTATATCTTAGGAGATGAGTACAAAAGGTGTCCCATTTGTGAAAGAATAACTTATAAACACTTCTATATTTAGCTATCTTGCCATTAAAAAGCAATGGAATGTACATTTGTATTGATTGTACCATAAAATAAAAGGGCATATTTTTTGGAAAAAAAACATTAAATTTTTTTCCTAGAAGACACTGAGGTCCAGAAGTGTTTAAGAAATTACAGAAGTAGACTAATTTTTAAAATGCCATATCAAAAACTGTCTCTTAAGAATGACTCATCAACAGTATTAGATTCAACTAATTTATAATGCCAGTAGGAATACAAGATAGATACCACGGAATGTATATTTGTGTTGACTTCTTTATCTTCGGTTAGGCAGAAATATTTGTATGAGTCCCTTAAATAAAATGAAAGGCCTTATAATTTGGGGAAAAAAACATTTAACTTTTTTTATTTAGCGGTTACGAGCTCACAGGGTTTTTAGAATTTTCATTTAAGACTAATTCTTAAATTACTATATAGTTAAAAAGAATTATATAAGATGAGTTCAAATGTTATTTCATTTGCAAATTCCGAGTCCTGGAGCCAAAAATCGATCAATACTTATCACACTCCTAATTTTAGAATGATCCATAAACAGTAAACAGTAAGAAGAGCGCGTACATTTAAGATATAATGAAATAATTAAATTTCTTTAAAGTACTTTACCTTAAAGTACTTTACTTTAATAGCAAATTTTAATATAGTCTTCATTCAATTTCATATTGTAAACATAAATAAAATTATATGCTTCCAAATCTTTTTGGAATATTAAGTTGAGTTTATATAACCCTAACCACATCTCACAAATAAAGAGAAGTATAAGCAATGTTTTTAAATAAAAAATAAAATTATTAAAAAAAATAATTTATAAAATTTTGTGCATCTTTTTTAAAGAAATAAATTTCTGTTGTATTCTGCTAAACTTTATACACCTTCACACATTAAAAATCACAGCTATCTGCATTTAATCCGCAGATTGTCTGTATTTGCGGTTTGGATTAAGCATCGACAACTCTACACAGAAATAACAATACGAAAACCAATTGTTGACTTCAATATGATGTGGTGTGAAAAAATATAGATACATCTATATACAGGTATGTATATGTATATGAATGGCTTAGATTTGAAAAATATTAATTTTTATGCCTGAACTTTGGCCATTCAGACCTGGAGCTACTCTGATAGGTTCGGCCGTAATTTCACTCATTGAAACAGAAATTCTTTCCTGAACCTATTCTGATTTTTTATCTCTTTAGGTAGTATAAAAGTATCGTAATATACTATATTGCTTATATACTGCTAATTTTCTATTTTTAAATTGACTGTTTAAACAGTTCCATAATTATTCGCCAATAATCGATTGTAGCGCTTTAAATGATGTGGTCTCATTCTTCTAAATTAGCAAAAATATTTTTATTTTTTGCTATTATTTTTTTGTATTTTAGTATCGAATCCATTGTAGAATCGCACAGTTCAATACTCCACCAGTTTTTGCTGATTGGCATTTACACTTCCTCTTGTTGCGTTTTATTGTTATTTTATCTTTTGTTGAAGTTTCTTTTAAAAAGGGTACCGTGTTTTTCTATTATTATTTCTCTATTATTTTTTATATTATTTCCTGTTTGTTTCTATTGTTTACATTTAAAGCACAAAATGCAAATAATGAAACGAAAAGCGTGAAAATAAAAAGCGTGGTATCAAGTCGCTACCAATTGTTACAAAATCAAGGATTACAAAGGATTAAACGTGAGAAATCGACGTGCGGTTTGAGGTTAAGTGCATCAGGCTCCACGCAAAACGAAACCGCGATAGTTGGAATAAGTTAGTTGGAAAAAATAAAAACTTAAAAATATTAGTTTAAAGTTTGGAATTAAATTGAAATTAATTTAATTTTGTGTTTCTTAAGAGTTTTTCATTTCTGATTTTTGTTTGAAAAGCCACACATTTTACATTAATTATTTCTTTGTAGAGTAGAAACTTCTTGGGTTTCTTTTAGACGCGATTTTATTACTTTTGAAAGTTTCGCCATGAAAACAGTAAAAGACACTCTTCCACTTTTACAATTTTCAATCATTTTTGGTATACAAATTTAATTTTTTAAGGATTTTATTTTTATTAAGTTGAAAAATTAAAGTGATATAAATTTTTAAGGAATCCATTACTAACATATGATGCACTTATTTCAAAGGAGTTCTATCAGCTATAAAATGAATTTGTTAAATATTTGTGTGAGCTTTTAGTGTAAATATAGTAGTGGTGACATAGTTTAGCAGTTACAATAAAATATTAAAAAAAATTGTTAGCATATTATTTAAATTATTTATGTTCAGTTTGAAATTAATATAAATAATTGTGTCTTTGGTTATTCTACAAGGTAAAGAATGACCATTGTAAAATTAATGAGATATATCGTCTTATTTGGTACTTCAGTCCAGTATGAACCTTGTCCTTCATTACGATCAGCCTCGATCTGTCCTGATCTTCTGCTGCTCTCTTCCAGTTTAGTACTTCAATTTTTCTTGCATCACCATACACGTTCTCATCCCACCTTGTTGTTGGCCTACCTCTGTGCCTTGTTGTCATCGGCTTTACGTTGTACTGCTGCTCGGCTTTCTCTCCGGTCCCTTTCTTACTACACGAGCAGCTCATTGTAACCTTCACGACTTGATGTATCTCTAATGTATGAAATAAATATTTTTAATTATTTTTCTTTTCAAACAACTACTAACAATCAGTTTAAAACAAATTTTTTTTTATATTAGTTGCTTCTAAACGCATTAGTACACAATTCTCCAATAAAAGTGGATTAAAAGATCTATCTTCGAAATTGATAAGAAAAATTCTATAATTTATGTGGGTTTTACTTTAAGGGCTGACCTTTTTCATTAGGTGTTTAGTTATTGATTAGTGATGAAGTTAGTAACAGAAAGATACGGTGCAAATAATAGAAAGTGAAAGATAACTTCTAAATCAGTGGCCCACAAGATAATTAAATACGAATCAAATTTGAATTAAATTTAACAGGTATAGAAGCATAGCTTGTAGCTTGTCCACTGAGTCCTCAGTTATTAGATTACAAGAACAAAAAATTTCCAGGTAATTATATATCTTTTTTATCGCCTATATATAGTAATGTATCTCAGTAGTAATACAATTCATTATACATTATACCAAATATGCATAACGCATATGAAAATAATCATATAGTTTATTGTTTTTAAATTTTGTGGATTTCACTAAATACAAAAATATAAAAGATTAGGAACCACTGTTCTAAATAGTATCAAACAATATTAATATTTTCACTAACATAATTTGACTAAAATTACTTTTTCTAAAGCAAATTTTTTTATAACGTCCTTGCTAAAAATACTTAATTTAGTTAAACAATGATTTTAATAAAAATATTGATATATAATATACCTGAGCTTTTCTGAAAACTCTCCATTCTATGTAATTGCAAGAAGTCAGTCTGAATACCACTTATAGGTGACCTCTAATAATTCTATTTATGTAACTGTAGTTAATTTTATAAATGTTTATAAATTTTGAAAAATTTGTTCTCTGCAATAATTGAAAGTCTCCCCATTAGCCCCAAAAGGTAGTGTTTCAATTTTGGGAGCATAATATGATAAATAACATTAATGCATAAATGGACCGTGAACAATCGAAAATTTTAATTTGAACATGTCTCTTAGTGATGACATGTAATCATTCATAAATTAATTTAAAATGAATTAATTTTAACCCAATTTTGTAAACAGTTTTATGTTAATATCGTGTGGTATTCCCACCGCGTGTTGCAAGAAAGACCACTTGAAAGGAACTTATATATAGTACCTATATTGTAATAAATCCAGCTTTTGGATTAAAGTTCGAGGATTTCTAATAAATTATTAATTTATGATTGTTGTGAATTTTTAAAAAAGATAATTTAAATAAAATATCCTAAAAAGAGTTTTGTCGGATTAAATAAAAGCATATATCAAAATTTTTACGTTATATTTAATATAACTCTTTATATTATTGTAACTCGCTATAGAGTCTCGTCACACATTCGTTAAAGTTTAGTAGGCAAAGTTATCCCAGTTTTGAAGTTAGATGAAATAATAGACTGAAAATGAAAAGTAAGATTTGGATTCCATCATTGTTTGATAAAAAAAATAAGCTTATATATGATCCTTTTAAGCTTATCTATCTTAACTCTATTTAGTAAAACAATTTTCTTTTATAGCATTTAAGTGTTTTCTTAAAATAATTTTTATTCAAATATAATATTTTGTTAAAATATATTTTCTATATAGTATAATGTTTAAATTTGGACACTACGAATTATAATGGGACAAATTATTAATTTTATACCGGTATGGTTAAAATGGATAAATGTATCGGGACATAGTTTAAATATTTAAATTTAGAAAATACATAAAATTTTGTAACAATCACAGTTCTTGACAAAAACTGCACGTTCCAAGTTTTTTAATCGTTGCGTATAACAATTTCGATTTCATAGTGCGGCATTTCCGTGGGCTACATCTCCACAACAAGTCTTTTACTCTCCACGAAAGAAAGCCAATTTTCCTGTAAATATTTTAACTCTATATATGACAATAGAGTTGTTGAGATCATATGTTCTTACATTAGTCTTGGTGGTACAGTAATCTATCCACAAGGACTACAGGTCTTACGTTTCTTTTTTGGACACTTTGGTTTGCGCGGACATTTAGGTTTCTTTTTGCGCGGGCATTTAGGTTTTTTTTTGCGCGGGCAGGTTGGCTTCTTTTTCTTACAAGGGTTCTTCTTTTTTTTCGGACACTTGGGCTTTTTTTTACAACTGGGCTTCTTCTTTTTACATGTTTTCTTCTTTTTCTTAGGACAAGTGGGTTTCTTCTTACCACATCCTTTCTGTAACTTCCGAGCCTAAAAAAAAAATTTATTTATACATATATGTATATTTTAATAATTTTATTTCAAAACTTTTTTTATACTATTTTGGAGAAACAATTTGATTCTTTTGAATTTGTTATAATAGACTGACTTACCATCGCCTCATATTTATTCTTCTCTTTTTGGCTTAAACAACGCCATGCCTTAGCCCCTGCGCAAACCGTCTGCACTGCTGTCATTCCGCAATTGCAACGTCTAAAATCCCTTAGGAAATTTAGGTACCCATTATTTGTCATACGTCCGGGACGCATGCATTTTTTTTTTTGACAACTCATATTGGTATAAAAATTATATTTTCATAAGAGTTTCCAGCCAAACTGATATAAATAAAATAAAATATAGTATAGGATATAGTATAGGATATAGTGACTATTTGTAAATTATGGTACAAAATGAGTATTTTTGGCCCAAATTACTATTTTACCTAATGGATCTCCTGCATGGATTACCCAAGTGGTTTGCTTTCCAATAAGTTGAGAATTATGCTTATTGTTTTTTGTTGCCAGGGAGCTGAAAAGTAAAATCTGTAGTTAAAATTATGCTTGCAAATAATGATTCCAAAACTAGAAAAACGAACCGTGTTATTGCTTTCTAATTGATCTACTTTAGACTTTAATTATGTATTATTGTATGTGTAAGAGATATCTAAATTATTACTTCATAGCTTTTTATACAGCTGATATTAACCAATATATTTAATAAAAAAATAAGGTTTTACTTACTCAGTATTTCTTCAAAAAAGTACTTGTAATCCTCCTCCTAGTACATAAATACCATTCTATTATGTATAAGAAATACTGACATATACACTCTATATAATATATAGTAATTAAATAAATTAAAAGAGTTGTTAATAATAAATTAATAAGATTTTACTTACTGAGTGTGTCCTTAGAGTACTTTTTGTTTTTGTAAGTTCTGAACTTCAAATACAGTACATGTAAGATCCACAGTTAATTGGCTTTCTCGCGGAACTGGAAATAAAAAAATATTTATTCTAGAAACTTAATAGTTATATTATTGAAAGCTGATATATAACGTAATATATTGATAAATTACATACAATCGTTATGTATTGTAAAATATATAGAGCCATGTTATGCAAACAGTCATGCGATGAACGATCACTGCACATTTAATCACTTTCTGGTCATGACCAAAAAGACATGTTAGACTGAGAGTCAAATCACGATTGTAACTAACTACTGGTACCACTAATTTGATCTCTATTGGTTGCCCGCGTGGTGCCAATACAAAAATATACATATGAGCTTCTAGAATATATGCTATAAATTTTTATATATATGAATGAGCAACACTATTTTGACATATATTTCGTTACCATGACCAAGACTTATTCCATATTTCTCTTTTGCTATTATTATCAAAATTTTAAATTATTTTAAAAACAAGAATTTTACATTTAACCAGACCATGACTGTCTATATAACAGTCTGAATTTTAACTGAATTATCAGGAATATCGAAATAGAAAATATTTTTTAGAACAAATATATATTTTTTCTTACATTAAATAATCTCGTATTACACTTTTATAAATACACGAATAAATATATTATTCTTTTGTATATTTTCTCAACCATATGGTTATGACCAGTAATTAGTCTTAATTAATAGTATGCACAAAAATATAATATTATAGTACAGTCAAACCTCTCTATAGCGAACTTCCCTATAACGAATTCGTCTCTATAACGAAGTTTTGATGAAGACACAGCGATTTTTATGTATTTGAACCTCTCTAAAGCGAATCTCTATCTATCTATAGCGAATTTCTCTCTATAACGAAGTTTTTTCAGGTACAAATTTTTAAATAGAAGAAACCTCTCTATAACGAATTTATTCAAATACAACATTCAACTAATACGTTGTAACTTATGAGAAACTTGTTAGAAGATTTGGAAAAGTTCCTTAATAAGGAAAAAGTAAAAATGTCTAAACAAACTAAAATTATAGGCTCACCTATATACAATTGTTGCTCTCAATAACGAAGTTTTTTGTAGTCACCAACGACATCGTTATAAAGAGGTTTGACTGTAATTCGTAAAATAGTCCTCAATATTTTTACTTACTTGGGTCACCACGAGAATACCATACGCTTCAGTTTTTTAATTTGATCTCTCATACGAACACTATAACAAAATTAATATTGTTCTCATATATTAATTTTTAAAAAATTTTATAAGATATAAAAGATATTCTTGAGTAATGGATTTATAATAAGTACTTACGTTTAAGCAACTACTGCGAGAAATTTTGATTCTGTATCGTAAGGATTTTTTAAAAATCTCAAAAATAAACTTAACCAAAAATGAAACTGTTTTGGAAAGAAAAAAATATGAATGAAAAAATTTTTATATCATATACCATATATGAAATCATATAACAAAACTCAATGATAAATTGATTATATCTACATATATAACGTACAATACAATTAAATAAAAATTTGATTTCTCAATTGATTGAAGTTATAAACGAGAAAAAAATTTAAACAAACTATATATACTTGTATAATATACTAGGACTTTAATGTGGCATGGAATACTATGAACAATTTAAGGATATTGAAGAGTAGCACATATGTACAATAAAATATAATACTCACCTTTAATCACAAAGGGGAAACCTTATTTTGAATAGCTTTTATCGCTTCCTTCTACAATTATACAAAATTGAATAAAAATTTCATAAATGGATGCTATATTAAGCATATTTACAAGATATTCGGATAATAAAAATTTTGTTAAATTGATCTTTAAAAAAAATTTTTGCCACAAAGTCTTATTTAATCATAAAAATATTACATGGTATATAAACCACATATTTGAGGTATATATTCTTTACTTACTTGAGATCAATACAAAATTTTTACACTTATAGCCAGTAATGGTAATATTACTTATATTCGTTTATGCGCTAAGTTAAATTTTGGTTTTCTACAGATTTTGATTAAAAACTTAAAAACCCTTAAATCTCAAAATAATGTCCCAGAAAATAAAACTGGTTTCGGAAAAAAAAAAATTAAATTGAAAATTTGTGATCATTATCATATTTTTTTATTAAAAAGAATGTAAAATAAATTCAAGGATTGCTTAAATAAAAATTTATATAAACTTTATTTGCAGTATTTAAAAATATTAATAGTATTAGAATGCATTTTTCTTATAATATTAGTAGAATAGTAAATGTATTGCTATAAACAGTATTAGGACTTTTGTGCCCCATTTATGAGCTCAGAGTATTTCTGCAAATCCGATTAGTTCGAAAAACTATAGTTTTAAACATACTTTACCGAGTACATTTTCTCTATGCAATATAAGCAATGTACCTAGGTAGTTTTTTTGTTTATGCGTCAGTACTGGAAGGACTTCCACGCGTTTTGTGGTCTCCATCTCTTCCCCACAAAACTCACAAGTATTATTCGACTTGTTTTTCGAACAAAAATGTCGAAATAACACATCCGTTTAATTTTTGACGTGCCATTTATGTTACAAAATAAACAAGTATATCAAAAGTAATAATGAAGGATATCTAAACAGACTGTAAAAGTAAAGAAGTAGGAAGATCACAAATCTTGGGAATGTTTTCGAATGTAAACATCGGTAGCTCAAATTTGTGATGTAAATATGGTATAGTTTTCTGCACAGAAGTTGATAGTGCTAGTTCCCAAACATTTCCAAATATTTCCTTTTCGATCCATAGACACACGTTCTGTTTGTTTTTATAGTTAGTGCACTATCTGTTTACCATGCTAACATATTCTTGTGTGTTGTTTAGATTTTGGGATCTTTAGCTTTTACTGAGTTCAATTTTATATCGCTTTATAAAACTAAACTTCGGTTCTATGATGTCTCTCATTATTATAATTGAAATTTCAGGAAGATATTTAGCAAAAATATCAAACTACTTGCGATTAGGACAACTGCCACAGTTATTTTTGATTATCTTTAGAATGGATGTTTTCGCAAAAGATTTTATGTGAATGGATAGAAGTGTCAGTTCTAAGAGTACTTAAAGCATGCCGTCGGATATATTCACATATTTTAATTAAACTAAATACATATTATGCTATTTTTTAAATACACCACACTATATACTACAATAAAAATGTCTGCCACATGTTTTAAATTAATTTTCAGCTTTGTATATTAAATTATTTTATATACAAATTTTCTTAATATAATATATAAGCTTATATTTTTAATTATTTATATGAAAACTCTCACTTGATATTAAAATATTTTTTAAACAATATTAATTAATGCCACATGTATGCATAAATTCTCAAGAACATTGCTAATTAGTTCTAATTATAGAAAGTAATTTGAAATGTTTTCTTTAAAAACCTAAACTTTTGTTTTGTTATTAAACTGCAAATTAGAAATTTTATTATCAAAAACATTTTGTTCTTCTGGTATTAAAAAAAGTTATAAATTTTCTTTACAACGCATTAAATTAGCAAATAAAACAGTAGCAAATAGAAAGCGTTGTTAATTAACTAAGAAGTGCGTATAATTGTATTTCGCCTAAACATATGGTAAGGATAAGCATTCCCCTTAAGACATAAATTTACTAAACGAAATTTGGAAAACAAGGAAAATTCATTTATGGGAAAACTGTTAAAAGCTGCTTACGCGCGCATTTCCTTTTGTTTATTAAATTGCGCTACTCGAAAGGATAAGAGGATATGAGTTGTTAAGTTGAGAGTTGGCAATGATATGAGTAGTATTTAAATATATAAACTTGTTAAGTATTTGTTTTGTGTTTCGCATTAATGCATTTTAAAATTGCTTTCGAAAATTGCATTTCAATTCTAAGCATTTCAATTCTTGGAGAAAATAACTATTTTTAAATAAACTCGAAAGATATTTTATAATTACTTTTCTCTTATAATTATAGTTTAAAGTTTAGTATAGATTATATATATCGAAAATAATGGTTAATATAAACTTTTTAAATATTCTTAGTAACTACTGACAAAAAATTTGTTAGCGAGACTTAATAAGCTGGTATTGTATTTATAAGTATTATTACTTATTATTACTAAAAGTGTAGACGTGAAAATTGCCCAACAGCCGGTACTGCTGTAAAGCTCTTTAAAGCTTTGTGAACAAAATCTAGAACTGAATGTAGAGAAGAACTCTTAATCTGCTCTCTCTGGTGGTAGAAATTCCATATGAAACAGGTTTCTTCTGTGCGTTATTAAAGCTGGACAGTCACAAAGAATGTACATGGTTGTTTCCTCATCTTCGAGGCATCTATAAGTAAGTTCATACCTAAATTTCAATAAATATATTCAGTAGCAATAATTATAGTTATTATTTACATGCTCTATTAGAGTCTACAATAGCTTTCCACTAGTTTCTATTTTGTGCTATTGCTCTCAACTCTTTAAATGATTTGCTCACCCTCTGCTGAACTGTCCTTATTCAGGTCGTTGTTGGTCAGCCTCTGCGCCTAGTTCCCTGGAAGTTCTAAGTAAGTGCAGCATGCGCGATGTCTTCAGAAGACTTACGCAGTGTGTGTCTAATCCAAACATACTCCTTTTTTCTCCATAACTCTTCATTTGAAATCATTGTAGGCCACCATATGCCTAATATGTCGCGCAGGCATCGATTGATAAATGATTGCAGTCTTCTTGCGGTTTCGGAGTTAGCAAACCGGGTTTCCGATCTATATAGACATACCGATTTGACGCATGCGTTAAAAATGTTTAGCTTGGTGTCGGTACGTATATTGTGGACGGCCATATGTTACGCAACCTAGCAAATGATACTCGCGCTTTTTGAATGGATCTACAATGTGATGTCCATTGATTATAAAGAGAGTTGAATTTTTAGTTTTTATACGCAATGCTTCAGTTTTACAGATGTTTATCTTCAAGTCAACCTTGAAGTAATCCAGTAGCCAACCAGTAGCAATAATATCTAGTAAAACTTACATCTTACGTTTTCTTTAGTCTGTCTATTTATGTTTTTCTCGACATTTTATTATCTTAGGTTAGTAATAATATTATTGATGGAATATAAATAAACCCAGGCTTTACGACTTTGTCTACCACACTTCATATAGACCACATATGTGTGCGTTGCCTGGTAATTTTGTTATTCCTTTGTAAAGAGGGTTTCTTCAGTGCTTGCGTATTTGATTCAAGTAATACCTACATCTCTGTTACCATTCAAATTTATTTGAAATTTTGGCTGGCTTTTGAAATTAGTTTTAAACACATCTTTTGTGGCCTGGAAGGAGGCTTTTATCATATATTGTGCTTTTTGTTAGGGCTGGGTATCTGTACACATTTGAATTTGCCCATATTTAAAATACGAACCCCTGATATTTTTCGTTAATACACAAAAACTTTTGAACTTTACTTTACATTTACTTGAAGATAGTCTTAGATATTCAATATACAAAAACTAAGCTCTGGAAACTAGTTTTTCCAAATTAGATGGAAACTTTAACTTCGAGTATTTTAACAAAGTAAGGAAAATAACTCAAAGTAGTAATGAGACATCAATAAGTATTGAACAAAAATGGTACCTTCTGATACCGTCTGGAGCACATTAGTCATTGATATGTGTGTTTTTTTGGATAGCATATTTAATTCGATTGATATGAAAGTACAGTAGTTATAATTTCTAATTATTTAATCATATATAAAAAATATATGGTGTACAAAGTCTATATTAATATGCATATATTATTTACTTACTTGGGGCCAAGATTTTCACACTTAAAGCCGGAAAGTAGAATGTCTAATATTGTATAAAAAATGTATTGATATATTAACAAATTTTTCAGTAAAAATAACGTTATTCACATTCAGTGCATTAAATTTTGGTATTCTACTATAATTTATTAAGAACTTTAAAAGCCATTAATCTTAAAATAATATCCAAAAACTAGAAACGAATTATAGAAAAAAAATAATTGAAATTGAAAACCATTCTCAAATGAAATTCATTATATGAAATAAATTCAAGGCCTGCTTATACTTTTGATTCAAGATTTTACAATATCATTTCAACCAATTAATTATCCCTGAAAGTTTCGAAAGAGGTTTTCACATTCCGGTTTTTGCTAGGAATAGATATTAATTTTAAGGATAAGAGACTCATAATGTTTTCTCTTTTATTTGGCAGACGTTACAAAGATCATTAGAACATTATTAGACAGTGGTCAGCTACAATGTATTCAGTTTGGCTCTTTAAGGGAAAAGAAGAACACTGCACCAGCAGATATATATATATATATATATAGAAGATAGATTTATAAATAGAAGACTCGATACTGCTTGATATGTTAACAACAAGAAAATAATTGATATGGGTTATGGCTGTTCCAAATTATCTGCTATAAAATTGTTTAGATAGCTATACGACAAATACGTTGGTGTATTGACTAATCTCGTTCAAGAATTTAACATATAATTGGACGATTTTTAATTTGGTATGTAAAAGAATTTTACAGAAATTTTTGATATATACTTTTTAATAGTATGCCCTTGATATATACGATAATGTTACATCAGTTTTTGATTAATGTCTTCTTAGTTGTGTGTTCATTTGAATTATATAACCGCACTTCTCGTATCTGTATAAAGGAAAAGTTCAATTAGATTTGAATATGACATTTATTGGGAACCCGCTAATTGTGATCTTAAAATGAAAAAAAGCCTAGGGAAAGATTTCCAAGTTCCGATATAGTCTATTTTCATTACTATTTTAACAGAGCAGTCGAAGTATGCTAATTTGATTAAGAGAAACAAAAGGAAGTCCTTTTAGGAAGTTAAGCACCTTATAGTTTGAAGATTATGAAATGACTGCAACCTAAAGTTGCAGTTCTTCACGTTTTTATTTATTTGTTCGCTTCACGGACATACATAAATATCTATCAGTTAAATATATTCTTGTTGAAAATTATAGAATCTCAAATAGTTATAGATGTTGTTTTCTAAATATGATTTTAAATATGAACTAGTTCATTTGTCGAAATCATAGTCGAAACGAGACATAACTATTATTATTATTATTTATAATTCAAGTATATAATTGATTTATATACATAATATATGATTTGAATTTTGCATACATATATGTTCTTATAACTGAAAATAATCTAAAATAATCTGCATAATGCTAAATAATAGATTATTAATATGTCGAATTTAAAATCACAGATGTATTAAGTTAAAACTGACTGAATGTAGAAAACCTATCATGTTAAAATATATCTATTAAACACCAAAACTAGCAATGCACATATGCGCTAATCTACAACTCCTACTCCTATATCAACTAGTCCATTTTTGCTACTAGACATTACGCCATTCAGGAATCGTGACTATCGATGAGGTCATGTCGCTGTCATTAATTATTGATGACGCTGATGATGATTTTATTACGAGTGTGTCAGATTCGTTTTTCGATTTGTAAATTTATACTTAACGCATATAAAAATTGCAAACACATCGTTAACAAAAACTGGACCTGATGCTGCATAAAGCAGATGGGCTCTCAGCTCCATAGCAGCAGTTAAAAAGGAAATAAAATAATTGGTAGTCGGGACTTTATTATTTAATTAAGAAAGTAAAGTAGATAAAATGCAGCACAATTATAGAAATATTTAAATACCAAATATTTAAAGGAAAACTCTTTAAGATTAGAAAGATTTCAATAAAAGTGAATTCACTTTAAATTTTTGAAAAACATGAATAATTGAAACATTTTCGTTTGTGTGCCTACCACCCACCGCAAAAAGCCTCAAAAAATAAAACAAAGTAATGAAATATAAAAAGAAAACCAAAAATAAATAATTTTTATTTATTTCATGTCCTGCTTTTATATAAATTTTGACACATTGAAATTCTTTTGTCAAAAATTGACACAAACGCTACGTTATCCTGCATATTTATCATATCCTGCAGGAATAATTCAACTTTTTTTGTTTAACTTTTAACACCAGCACACTTTTGTAGGTAAACAAATGCCGGCAGAAATAAAAATATTATGCAAACAAATAACAATGTTGAGTGGTGCGGGGGTACCACGCTACGTATACTTACTCAATTTTTATTGTTTCGCTATTACCCTGAGGTCATTTCGGTGTTTGTTGTGGGAAATTAAAGCACAAATTATGGTCAACTTTCACCACTTTCATGCAAAATTATTATATATCCTCCAACTAGCCACGAGGGTCACTTTGAGTACCAACATTTAGAAGCAAAAAACTTTTCTCAACCGATATTTTTTTCCTGTTGCAGCTTTTATTTATGCTCAAGTGCACTTGAGAGGTCCTTAAGGAGTCTTATAAATATTATTATCCTCCATTTGAGTGCGTATGTGTGTGGATATGTGTAACACTTGAGTTCAAGTTGCCTTGTTACAAACTATTGAGACAACTTTTTCTGTAGTTGGAGAGTTTAGTTACTTTTGTTAACACTTTTGTTGAAAAGTTTGTTAATAAGCGTTCATATGAAGTACAGTGGAGATATTTGATACTTATTTAACTTTTTCTACTTTTAATTAATTTTTTTTTTGATTTATAAAAATATTGTGTTATATATATTCATATTGAGACCTGTTCGAGTTAGTGCGTCTGGGCACTTTTACTCTTTGATAACTGGGGAGCTTCTGCAAAGTCCCACCATTCTCACTCACTAATTTATGTATTTTTCAAAATATATACATTAACCTTATAAAAATCCGGCAAATAAGTGTTTTTTTGGAAATAACTGTTCGTTCGCAGAGTATTTTTTAGACAGCTCAATATCCTACAGCATGAAATATATACATTTTTCGCTATATGATTACCCCTCCACATGGTATTATGTTATAACAACCCTATTAACTATAATTATGGCACATTTTTTTCTTAAGATCGCAAAAGCTTTGATACACGATCGTCCATTAGGTATCCTTTTTACAGTCTCAGCGTCTTTCATTATACAATATAATTACATTTTTTTAAAGGAATTAATTACTTATACGAATTTTTTATATATCGACAACTTTTCTGGAAAGTATCGTATAAGCCGAATATGGGATTGGTCCTTTGTTTTACTTTCAAAAGTGGTCATATTATTACTAACATATTACTTCACAATTTGATATACTACAATTTGTTAATCGGATTTATTACAGTAGAAGAAAATAATCTCAAATTGCTGCATAATGTGTAAGGCCAATAAAAATTTTCAGAACTAGCTAGGTTATAAGTCTTTTTGGATACTGGAAACCAGAATAAATTGCAAGTTTCTTTAAATATTAATAATTAATAAAAAACATATAAACATGTAAAACATATTTATGCAATATTTTCTTTGGTCGTTATATACTATGTAATACCCAAATCAGCCTTATCTTTTCGGAATATTGCATTTCTCTTAAATCAATCAAATATGCTGGATTTGTCGAATTTCAACAAGTCTGTCTTCAGTGCTAAATATGGTTTTGAATCAGATTGACTTGTCGCACACAGCACAAATTTGAAACCACAACATGTTCTACGGATACATTAAACTTCATTCAATTTTTACTGCTACCCTTCGTGTAAAATATTAGGTCATTAACATCTGGTGACCTTAGAAGCTACTGTGCAGTCAAAATGAAGTATACTCTGTGCGCCGGTAAATAATCTGTTTCAAACGTTCACAATCGTTCATCAAAGTATTTGATTGCCCATAACTTTAAATTACCTTTTCAAATTTTTTCACGGTTGATATTTACAGTAACCGTGAATGCACGGCCTAAAGATCACCGATGATGGGTTTCTGCTTCATTCCGTCTTCTGTGGATATTATCGTGCGATCAAAAATAAGCAATTTACATAACCTCCCATATATGGATTAATGAATCTTATAGGCTTTGTCTTTATTCTTTACACACCATTTAATCGTTTTTAACTTCGATGCTGAGATCTTATTAATTGATGCTGGACTCTTTATATGGCGAGACTTTAAAGTATATTTAGTATCTATAATTAATTGCAATGAATTATTGAACTCATAGTTTATCAGTTTGAAAAATTTATACACTTTTTCTAATGAAGGACATTTTCTAAGGAACAAAATATGTTGATTTCTTGCAAATTTTTATAAATTCTATACCTATGAAATCTTACTTAATAAGGATACTCTTTAAAATCACAAATAAACTTTAAAATTTTTTCCAATTATTCTTAAAATTATTGCAATTATTTGTCTATGCATGCCATTGTACTTCGGTAATAAGTTACATTTTGAATTTCCTAGTCAAAACAATTCTTTGTTGTTACCAACAACAATAATAAAAAAAACCGTAAAAGACCAATAAAACTTACATTCTTATGATTATTTTTATTTGCTTGCCTGATTTGTTATTCTCACGGCCCTTAAGGTTGTCACAATAAGCACTCCGACACCATTTTTATCTTAATGTTCTTCACTGAAGAGTTGTGAAGTTCACTTGCATAAAAAAGTAAGAAGTTGAAAGTTGGCACGGAAGGAGGTCATAAAAATGCCCAAGTGAATAATAATCAAAGTGGCAGCGTCGTAGATCAGCTGCTATTCTTAGAAATCTGAAATGGATTTTCCATGGCATGTGTGTTATGGTTAGTGAATCGCTTTTCGTAGAGGAAGCGGATAGATGCCGTCAGACAGATTGTGCCCATTCTACACAAGACTCTTTACATATTCAAGAACTGCGCAAAATTAACTTTTATTGTGCGTTTAAGTATGTGAAAAGTTTTTCTTCTTGTGCAAAGCATGAAATAATTAAGCTTAATTGAGTTGATTTCGTAAAGAATTTGCCAACAAATTATTTGCTTTCTTTTATCGAGTTTAACTGCTTAAACAGTTTAAGGAGTTTGAGAAGAAATAGTTTCGTTAGATAATAATTAGGAATTAAC